ACGTCCGGAAGTGCGACAAGTGCCAAAAGTTTGGCCACATCATACATGTTCCTGCTAAGGAACTAACATCCATTCACTACTCAGCTCCTTTCAAACAGTGGGGAATTGATAATCTCGGGCTATTCCCCTTGGCCCGAGGACAATTAAAATTTGTAGCTGTGGCAGTGGAGTATTTCACAAAGTGGGTAGAAGCCAAACCACTAGCAACAATTTCGGAGCCGAAGCTCAGGTCATTCATATGGAAGTCCGTCATATGCAGGTTTGGAATACCAAAAGTCCTCATCACAGATAACAGAAGGCAATTCGACAATCCTCAGTTCAGGAACTTCTGCACCAGCAATGGGATTGATCATCGCTTGACCTCGGTATCACACCCGCAAAGTAATGGGCTCGTCGAAGTAACTAATCGAATCATATTGCAGGACCTCCGAACAAGGATAGGGGATGCCAAAGGTGACTGGCCTGATGAACTGCCTTCGATACTATGGGTGTGTAGGACTTCGCACAAAATAGCAAATGGTGAAACGCCCTTCATGCTTGCTTTTGGACTGGGGGCTACCATCCCAATCGAGATTAGCCTCCCCACAATAAGAAAGCTCGAGACAAATAGGGAGAGACAAACTACTGAGCACCTTGACTTGCTTGAAGAGGTAAGGGAGCAAGCCTCACTTAGGGCTACAAGTTATCAGAATAGAACGGCAAAGCACTTCAATAGCAAGGTCCAGACGAGGAGGTTCAGAGCTGGCGATCTTGTCCTTAGAAAAACAGAAGCCGCCAGACACCAACCAGGGAAGCTCGGACCGACATGGGAGGACCCTTCGAGGTCATAAGAAAACTTAAAGGTGGAGCCTATAGCCTCAGAGACACATCGAGAAAACCACTCCCAAGGCCATGGAACGTCGATAATTTGAAAATATACTACAAGTGACTAGCTATAACTATAATTTTCCCTTTTAGGGCTTGCATGCCCGCTTTATGTTTGTTTAATTTCGTTTTTAATTTTCGTGCTTTAGCCCTTTTAATAACACATGGAATTTTCTTTATGATGTTGATTCCCTACAAAATTAGCATAAGGCCGTGCTCCGCACATGCAGCTAATACCTTGACAAATTAGCGTAAGGTCGTACTCTGCGCATGCAGCTAATACCTTGAAAAATCAGCATAAGGCCGTGCTCCGCACATGCAACTAATACCTTTACAGAATTAGCGTAAGACCGTGCTCCGCGCATGCAGCTAATACTTTGACAAATTAGCGTAAGGTCGTGCTTTGCGCATGCAGCTAATACCTTAACAAATTAGCGTAAGACTGTGCTCCGCGCATGCAGCTAACACTCAACCAATAGGACCAAACACATGAACTCAAATAGCAACAGGTCAAGCATATAAGCTCGACCTCATCGATCCCAAAATGCTCAATCAAGAAAGAATTCTGAGATCGAGATCGGGTGCATGATATACCTGCCCCTCATGTAACCAAGCCCGACCTTTCCCTTAATTCATCAGCGACCAATTGGTCGTCCCTCAATATAAACAAAGCAAAAAATCAGTACCCAATACTAGTACGCTAACTAGTTGACCCCAAACATAACAAAACACCCTCGAACTTAGAAGTTAACACCCAATTTTTAAAGTAAAAAGATCTATCTATCTATAGTATCAACGATCAGTATTTTTAAGGTAGGCAAAATCTAGCTAGTTGGTTGCGACACACGAGATCTACGTTAACAATTGTAACAGCTCGAATTCAAAATTATGGTGTTTACGCACGAACACAAAATCTCATAGCAAAAAATAAAACACATGAACTGATAACAAAATGCCCAATTTGGGCAATATACTTGGCATTGAAAAATCAAAAGAAGTAATAGGCCACATCGGGCAATGTACAGCACGAACAAAAAATCAAATCTCGGGGTCGGGGGAACCTAATCTATATCAACAATCTTGACATCGTCCTGATCAACAGTCCCGACCTCATCACCATCCCAAACATCGTCGTCGTCATCATCCCCATCGCCCTCAGAAGAAGAGAGCTCGAGGTCCTTTGCGAGCTCGTTCACAGTCTTTAGCTCCTCAACCACGGGCTTCAAATCCTTGGAGAGCTTGGTCCAGAGGAATGAACGAGCTAGCCGCAATCCATAGTAGTACGAGCTAGACCCGTACTGGCCCAGGAGAGTCTTGAACTCATCGACGGCTTAAGTCCGGGTCTCTGCTCGAGCATTCGCAAGTTCCTCCTCAAAAGAGCTTCGGGACTGAATGAGCTCGAGCTTCACGTCCTCAGCTTGGTCCCTTGCCAACTCGACCTCGTCCTTGGCCTTCTTAAAGTCCGCCTTGGCCGCCTCCAGGGCCTTTTCAAGCTCTTGGGCCCTCTTAAGCGCAACATCGCTCTTAGCTTCGAGCTCCACTATATGATCTGAGGAATTCAAGCCCTTAGGCCCCAGACCCCAAGCTACGCTTAGTGTCTACAAAAAGAGGTATGGAACCCGACGTTAGTACGAATGCAAAAACCTATCGAGGGTACCAGAAGCATTCATATTAAAAACAAACCTTCAGTGTATGGAGCTCGAGAGTCCGAACCCCTTCATTCATGTCGACCTCTTCTCATACTTGTCAACTATGCCCTGGATAAGAGCACAGTCAGCGTATTCCTCGAGCGACTTGGTGGGCATAGGGTCGTCGTCATCAGCTAGGAGGTCCCACCTATAGCAAGGAGTACGAGCCCGAGCTTGTTGTTGAGGGACTGGCTGCCGTGGACAGGTCAGGTTTTGCGAGCTCTGCCCCAGGTCCACCAAGGTTGGACAGGCGGCCTCCCCTGCCCCTTTTTTCCCCTTGGACAGGGCAGTCATCGGGAATTTTGACTTCAGGCCCTTTGCTTTTTGACGTACGTTGTCCAAGAGTGCGAACGGATCGAAAGACATCTCGAACTCTGCAAGCAGAAATGACAAAGACATTAGCTCGAACTATAGATCGATGCTTACACATGAAATGGCAAAGATTACATAAAAAGAAAGATCGTACCCTCGAGGCCTTTCACGTTAGCAAGGTCGAGGGTGTCGTCCTCGAGCAAGTAATCGATCTTGTCTGTAAAGGGGTTGTGGTTAACTAATCTCAACCTATCTGTCTCTAAAACCTCGAAATAGGCTTGACCTTCGTTGAACCTATCCTTATAAGGGATTTCACACTTCGAGCTAAAAGGATGGTCGGCGTCTTGAGGCTTCACAAAAAAGAAGCGTTCCTTCCAACCCCTGAGTGAGCTCGAGGTCTCAGGAGTTCTAAATCCCCCCCCCCTTTGTGGATAAATAAACAAAACAGTTATATCCCAGGGAGAATTTCTAATCAAAAACCATTCGAAGTAGGTTGACCCTAGGTTCAACCTCGAGGCACCTACACAGTATGAAGAAATACACTAATAACCTCCAATCGTTCGGGGCTAGTTGACCCGGAGACAGGTAGTATGAGGTCAGAAAATGGATGAATAATGGGTGAAGAGGCCACCTAAGCCTGGCCTTAAGAGCGTTCTTAAAAAAGGTCATCTCCCCCTCTCGAGCTCCTAACACGGTCTCAGTTGGCCCTGGAGTTCTAATGTCACAAATTGGCATGACCCTGAACTCTCTAGCTATTTTAATAATCACATGTTCTTTGTACTTGGTCGGTTCTTTAGGGTATATCAGGTTGTCAATATGGGAATTAAAGGGGACGGCCATAGGAATAATAGATGTATCTACATCTTCAAGCCTATCACTATAGTTCGAGTCTCTAGGCACCTAGCTACTGTCACTGCTATTAGACCCAGTACTACCACTACTCGACATTATACTATAATCAAATAAAACAACTTAAGGGCTCAAACTCTTACCTTTGTGGATGGTTGCTCACAAACCTACTAATCCACGAACTCGAGCTCGATTTACTGAGAGATGAGAGTGAAAAGTGAAAAATGGGGGGTGAAAGTTGGGGTATTTATAGGGGACTATAGGATACCAACGGTCATGCAATCTCAACCCTTGGACCAAGACACGTGGCGAGCATCTAAGGTCACACTTTGACATTACACATGGCGGCCATCTGAGATCGCTCTCTAACATCCCATTGAACGCTCGACACGTGGAAAGACACCTGGACATTTATGCCTCTACATCTTCGCTCGTAGATCAGGCTTGGACGGAAATCTATGACCTCGATGCACGGGGGCCAGTGATGATCCCAGATCTTGTCAATCCCAAACTCGGTCCATGAACCCCAATCACTTATCATGAACCCCGATCTCAATATCCCCTAAAACTACCAAAACAAGGTCAAGCATTTGAGGTTGGGGTATGTATGTCGACTCGTCAGCCCTTCTATACGATCTATGAGAACACTGATCCTACTTTGACCCACAACCCTTACCCTGTTAGACTCCTTCTTCGACTCAAACAATGTTTGAACACTTGGAATAAACCACTAACTCCTTATCCTACGAAGATAAGGACCGCAAAAGAATAAGTCCTTCTAGGACCCCATCATTAACACCTATAAATACACAACATGTGCTCATTCTTGAGGTACGTTTTTCATTATCTCCAATTTATAGCCTTACGCACTAAATTCCCTATCTAACTTAAGCGTCAGAGGGGCGACGAGCACACATCTCATTGCCTTTGTTGTAGGTATTCAAAGACCGTTCGTGTTCATCAAAGTTCGAAGTACGATCATCAAGTTCGAGATCTTTCAGGTAATATTTTTTGGTAGCATCAGAACCAATTATAATGCTCCCTCATTCATTACAAAGTCTCTTATTGACAATTATTATTTCAAATTTTTTTCTATATAATCATTTTTAATCATACATTTATACAATAAAATATTATGTAAATAAATTCTAAATTTTTCTTACTTTTTAATCACACGTTCTTATAAAAATTACTATTCAGGGCCTCCAAATAAGGACAAATGAATATCTAAACAAAGAAAGTGAAACACCAAAAAAGGGGGCTATGCCTACCTCACCAAGTAAACGTTACCTTAAACTCGAAGTTTCAACGTAGAATCATCGGCAACGCGCTTTCTCACCTCACCGTCTCTCTTCTGGAATAACGTGCCGTTTATAACGTCCCTTTTAAGTATTTATATATATTATACATTCCTAGCTAGTAAATTTCAAATATTAGAACTGCTAATTTGTGGTAATGGCAGAAACAAACCCCAAATCCCAACCAGAAGTTGTAAGAATTTGATCCCTCCCAGGCTTTTATTTCTTTATTTATTGTTTGTTTGCAATTTTATGATTTGTATTGAGGTGTCGTTTTGGATGATTTTTCTAATAAGATGGATGAGACCGAAGAGCAGAGGATGAAGCGTTTGGAATTCGTGCAAGTTGCGGCGTTCCATGCGGTGATTTTTGCTGCGAAAATCTACAATTACGCCAAGGACAAATCAGGGCCTCTGAAGCCCGGAATTCAGACCGTCGAGGGCACCGTCAAGACCTTCGTGGGACCCGTCTATGACAAATACCACGGCGTTCCCGTCGAATTTCTCAAATTTGTCGATCGCAAGGTAATTTTCTAATTCTATTTTTAATTATTTTATAGAATTTTCGTAACTGTAATTTTGCCTGTAAATGAACCATTTGCATCAGGATTTGAACCTTAATGGGGCTAACCCTTGTCTTTACATGTAGAGATTAATCAGACTGTTTAGATAATTTGAGTGCTGGAATTTCTTTTTGATTATTGTAATCAAGGAAGAATCCACTCATTCACGGGATTGAATGCTGCTGGAATGGCTATTAAAGAATTTATTTTTCTCTGCATTCAAATCATTCTGAATTCATTGAGAGATGTTAAAAATGACTGCAATAACATTTGCAGATGAGACAGCTGAATAATTTTCGGCCCGCACCATTGTTAATGAGAATTTAAGAGATTAGCAATTATGATTGTAGGTAGATGAGTCGATGAACAAGGTCCAGAGTCATGTCCCTGCAGTTCTAAGGCAGGTGTCTACCCAAGGCTTCTCGACTGCTCAGAAGGCTCCAGTTGCGGCTCGCTCAGTTATGACAGAAGTCAAAACTGCCGGAGTTGTTGAAACTGCCTCAGGTCTTGCGAAAACCCTTTACACCAAATATGAACCCGCTGCCAAGGATCTTTATTCCAAGTACGAACCAGTAGCTGAACATTTAGCAGTTTCAACCTGGTGCTCTCTCAATCGGCTCCCGCTCTTCCCTCAGGTGGCCAAAGTAGTCGTTCCAACAGCCAGTTATTATACTGAGAAGTACAACCAGTCTGTTCAACTTTCAGCTGAGAAAGGGTACAAGGTTGCATTATATCTTCCGTTGGTCCCAACAGAGAAGATCGTGAAGGCATTTAGCGTTGATAAAACCGAGCCTGTGGTTTTGACCGGAGGAGCTGTTGAAGCAAATTGATGCGGTTTCCATTTGTTGCTATTAGCACGGTAACATGGTGATATATTTTCATAAGAATGTTGTGGATGATGGAGAAACAAGGAAATGTTATGAAATACTTTGTTTTGTTGCATGTACGATAGGTTCCTGGTATGAATGAATATTCGTTTTGATTGTTGTTGTCTATGTTTACGTGTGTCTATTTCATCGTGCATGATTTGCCACTTCTGCCGCATTGCTCATATCGTCCTTTCTTGTGTTGCCTATCATCGATAAGACATGAATAGATTAATCAATGAAAATGCGAATTCCAGTTCATGGGCAAGTTAGTTATCATTGACCAACCAGTCTAAAAGTGTGTATCCATATCTAGTTGTAAGTGGCTCCATTATGAAATAAAGGATTGTCGTGGACCTACACGGAGATATTGTCGATGATTTTCAAATCTTAGGTCAAATTGGGTTCCTTTATTTTTGAATTCTTTAATTTAGAATAATCAAAAGGAAGATTCGAACTCATGTCCAATCAATTAAGAGCCTATCATTTCTATCACTGAGCTACTAATGAAAAACATGAGATTAGATCTCATAGACTTGCTGACATAGGCGCATTAGGGAAAGGGAAGGAAGGAAGGAGCGTGATCATGGGACTTTCATGGTCGCATATTGGTGCAAAGAATGGCATTTTGTGGCTTTTGTCCCTTTTGCGAATCTTGGTTTAAAACAATTTTGGGTGCAACGAATAGATTATTATTTGCATGCTTCTCTATTTGATAAAAACCAAGAAAAGGCAGTGATGCCAATTTTTTTACCGTGTCATTGTACATTTGTACGTTTAGGGTTCTTGCATTCCGTTTCTGTTAAGAGAACACTTGAACTGTTGAGGGTTTTTGCATTCCGTTACCGCGACTCGGCTCGGGGCTCGGTAGACCCGATCCTAGGCTCGGGCTGAGTCCCATTTTGGGGACACGGGCTTTGCCCGAGCCGGCCCGTGAGCTTTTTAAAAAAAAAAAAAAACTAATTTTGAGGCAGCAAAATTGCTGCCTTCAAAGGCAGCAGTTTAGGAGGAATAAAAATAAAATAAAATAAAATAGTCGAGAAAATGAGCCTGCCCGACTTGGCTCGAAAAAAGCCCAAGCAAAAGCTCGGGCCGAGCCTTTTTTTTTTTTGGTCGAGCTCGAGCCCGCAAAAAAGCTCGACCATTTTAACTGGGCAGAGCCCGAGCCGAAACTTTAGGCTCGTGAGTCAGCTCAGCCCGGCTCGTTTACATCCCTACACACAATCTTCAATAAAATAATATTACACGTAAATAAAAAACTTTTCAACCAATCATTTTTCAAAAAAATACTATTCATCTCATTATAATCTACAAATAATGGGGTTCAAACGGCCCCTTAATGTCTTGGAGTAGCCCATCTCATATATTGGATTGAAGTTTTTATAATAAATGAGGGATAAATAGCAGAAGTCCCCAAATCCAATGTCAAAAATACATTTAGCGTGTCATTTAGTCTAGAGTTTAATCCACTTTTTGACCGTTGTAAAGTTCGGTGGATCCCATTTGTTGCAGTAATTATTGACTCCAAATGAGCTTATTTCCAAAAAGGTCATTTCCTAAAGAGGAGTGAGTTAAATGGTAAAGTCTAGGATTAGGTATGGTCCGATTCGATTCAATTTTAACGAGAACTAAATCGGACTCAAAAATTTTGGGTATTTAATTAATAGAATTGCCGGATCCAAATTTAATTATAAAATTTTTCGGGTTCGATTTCATTCGGTTCAGTTCAGTTCCATTCAGTTCCCAGATCCTGTACTATAATTAGTTTTTTTAATAGTTATAAAGATATATTAATTATACTAATGACATATTCAACTCTTACAAAATAACATAGTTCAGTCTTATGTGTTTTTTGTATCTCTCTTTGTTGAGTTCTTCATACTTTTTATTGTTAAAATCATAGGAAGATAAAGATAGCGAGCTCAAAATAATTAAGAAAAGTGCTGTGGAGTTTCAATTCGATTCCTCCAGAATGGTAGAATAACAGATTTGGATAAAATATAGATCAAAATTTAATTAAATTAGACTTGGACTGAAAATTAGAAATAGGAAATCATGTTTTTGTGATTGAGTTAAATTAACTAGTTATCAAATTTATTTTAAAAAATAAAATAATTTGGGTTATTTAAAATAAATAAATTAAAAAATTAAGAAAAATTGATTCTTATTCGTTTATTGATCTAAAATCGAGAATTGAACCGAACTCGTCGGTTCTCGATTCAGATACCCGTTCGGATATTTAATTTAAGAAGAATCGCTCGATTTGATTCAGTTATGGAGTTTTTTTGGGCCCTAGTAAAGTGGCTAAAAGATCATTCCACTTATTTCAGTCAATAATTACAGCACGGTGCACTGACATGCACTATATAACGACATGAATTTCTCTAGAAATTGAGTTTGTCTATACGTACAGGAAAATAAAATACATAACTCTTACAGGAATTTGTATTTGGTGACTTGGCAGACCACTTTCCAACAAATTAGACCAAAACCAAACTGTGAGCGAAACCGGTTTCAACTAAATAAAACCGTTCATTTTCCCCAAGTTTTCCATTTCCCCCAAATCAGTCTCCCTCCTCCGTCACTTTTCCATCTTCGGTCAACATCAGGCAAAAGACTAGAAAATTGTCATGTATTAGGACTAAGTGCTATAATATCTCATAATGGTAGTAAACAGAATGTTACTTACATGAATAAAAACATCATCGACTTTCCAAAATCTTCCTCAAGCTTAGCTACCAACATTAGAGTATAATCTAGAATCTCTATAAAATTCATCTCCATCGCCACAAGAAGAATTATCCAGAAGCTTGATGCCTTATCTTGCCACCACCATACTAGAAGAAGCTAGAAAGAATTGCCACCGACTATATCACCTATAAACAGAGGTTGGCGCGTGAGAAGAGAGTAAGAAGAAGAGCGAGAATTCAGGGATACAGAGAGAGAAGCATAGTTATAGACATGCTGTGTATATGTAATATATGTGTGCTTAGGAGAGAGAGTGTGTTAGTGGAGTGAATTAGTGGAGGGAGTATAGATACAAGGTGCTGCATGAGTGAATTTTGTGGTAGGCTAAGGTGCTTGAGCCTTGAGTATGGTGTTTGTCCAAAATTGTATAAATTCTACTTCATCAATAAAATTATATTTATTTGTGAGTTCAAATTCAACAATTTGGTATCAGATCTCGACATTTCATGGTTGTGATATTTTCAAAAAGTCTATTTAGTGGTATATTTCTACTAAGTTGATTCTTGATAAGATCTTTGTAACAGGAAGAGAACAATTATATTCAAAAACAGAGCAAGTTAGGTTTATTTTTTCCCCATCAATGCAAGACTTGCATTGATATCATGTCACATTGGGATTGATTTTCCTTGCAAATTACAATTCCTTAAGACTTCTGCTTGAATGAAAATGAATTACTATTTTATGAATGCAAATATATTGTCATCTCTTCATTCCACATACAAGTAAATACGTGATGGACAAAGTTTCAGGTCTAAAATAGGAGTCAAATTTTATGACATGTGGCAAGTTGATGAGAAAAAAAAAAGAAACGGAGAAAAAGGACTTACAAATGAGGTTGGACATGTTTCCATAAGAGTCGTGAATCACATTCCCCTCAAAGTTATTATTATTAAGCGGACTTCAATGCATGGAGGAGGGCAAGGAGAAGGAATGACAAATTATTAAAGGCAAAAAGGATTTATCTGATAGAATGACCAGTCCTTGGACTATAAAAAACTGAAGAACAAGATATGTCGAAGTAATAAGAAAAATAAGTCCATGACGTTAATATATTACAATGATTCGCAAAATAGTAAACTATGTCCAATGCTCGACCGACATTAACAAAATTGAACATAACATGAAAGCCTACTATGAACAAGAAGTTCCTACATTACAACAAACCATATAACAAATACAAATTGACATCATAGTACTCTTCCTACCACTTCTACCACAAACGTAACTCATATCACCCATTCAAGTCAGTCCATTTCCTTTCCCATTTCATTCGGTAATTTCTTTTCCCTTACGGAATGTTATGTACAATGATATATCGACGTCTCGTCTCTCGGCATTGTCCAGAGAAGTGAGTGTTACTTTTACAACCGCGACAAACTCCGAAGTTCCATCCTCTTATTCTAATTGGCAACTGTTAAAGAAACAAATAAAACCACATGTGAAAGGAAATGTGATTTGGCATAAATGTAATGAATGAATGAAATACAAAAAAGGATGAAGAAGCATTGAATATTTTATTTGCCTTCTCATTCCAAGTTGTGTTAATTGAGTACAAATGAGCAACATCTATACACGAAATGAAATTATAAATTCATGGTAAGCAACTGGCTGTGCATGCCTTTGCTCCCTATTATACAACACATCAAGACACCTCAGCAGAAGCTAAAACAAAAATACTAATTATCAACTATCTACAAACTAATTATCAACTACTTCGTACAAAGGCAAACGACTAGCCATTTTCCAATTGCGTCTTTGTTTTTGCACTGGCTATAGCATGGATCATCTCTTCATCATCATTGCTTGAACTTCATGCCTCAAAAACATGAATGCAATTGCATTACAAACTCCCACATTGTAACTTTTGTTCAAATACAGATAAATGGTTTAGTCATGCTCTATCAAAATTGAACTACATAATGAACAAATCATAATCAACTTTAAATCAAGGTGGAGAGAAATGCTGCGATGTATGCTCTTCGTTTGCGCCGGCTGATAGTGACAATGACGCGGCTATCGGATTTCCTTAGTGTGGGAACTTATAGCAAGACAGAGAGACTGTGATTTGGGAAAAATAGGAAATTTGGGGGAAAATGAACCATTAGAGACAGAGAGACTGATTTGGGAAGAAATGGAAAAATTGAGGGAAATGAACCATTATATTTTATTCCGAACACGGATTTGTTTAGGTGAAACCGATTTTGCTCACAACCCGGTTTTGGTCCAATTTGTTAGAAAGTGGTCTGCCAGGTCACCAAATTCAAAATCCTGTAACAGTTCTGTATTCATTTCCTGTACGTATAGACTAACTCCTACAAATTACTCCAAACACATGCTTGACTAGATTTCATAAATGGGACATTTGAAGCATGGTATTCAAT